GCTGCCTTTTCACTTTCTTTTTCTGAATAGACCCATAATGTTCAGGGAAAATATCAAGAATAATAAATCCCAATCTCTGTATAAAATATACCTTCATGACACACTCAAGCTGGAAATCACAGGAACCAATAAAAATGCAGGCAGCCTACTGATAATGAGGTCAGAAATACAAATAAATTTACTTTTAATGAAGACTGGAGGCACAGTAATCAAAGTGTTAAAATTCATTTCATGCATATCTCATTTGCTTCTTAGCTGATATTTACCACGCAATTCTGTGAGAAAGTAGAGGCCTAAGATGCTCCAGATAAATGGCTCAATTAATTGTACAGAGGTAGACCTCTTTGAGCTGCGCCAGCGCTGTGAGCTCTTTATTAAAAGCACTATTCTGTAGCCCTAACCTTGTTCCTTGACTCCTCTCTGGTTTCCAATTTAAACAAGTCCCCATGCGGCCTGCTCTAAAGGGCTTTGTCTCCCTGTCATTGTTAAGAGCGCAGAGGCATCCTGGAAGTGTGAAATCAGACCTCATGAGTTGAACGGTTCCCCAGGGAACGCCGGACTGCGCAGAAGGTCAAAGTCATGGGCCGGACCATCTCAAAGTGTCTGATCGCCGGTCTGTGACACGGCAAGTGGGGTGGGGGCGAGACTGAAGAGGAATGAACTTGAACACATCTTAATTAAAGCCCACAGACAGCAAAACAAAATGTTTTCTAGGCAGCCTGTCAACTGGGGCTTAAATTTAGCTCTGCTAATGAATCTGAGCAGTTCACCGTTATTTTGTAAGATAATAAGACTCTCATCACAGAAGCTGATAAAAAAAAAAGAAAAACTGTAGCATGTCTTTTTCTGCTTTTTTGTTACTTAAATATTTTCCAACAATGAAGACAGTTTTCCAAAAGGAAAACATGGAAAAGTCTATGCAAATAAAGGGGGCACTAAACATTTCTCTTTAATAACTAGTTGCTTTCTAGACTACAGGGCTGACATGCTACAAGTCTTTGTTCATAGTTTAGTCTGGGGGAAAATGTTCATTTAATGGGACAATTTCAGTGACTATTAATCATAATCCCCCTTCTCTTCTCCCCTATTGCTTCCTGAAAGAGATGGCACATTCATTTCCAAACCAGCTCACCTGGGAGAGGACCTTTTAACATAGTGGCAAGGTCTCCCAGTTCTTCCCATCACTGTTTCTGAGGGGCTGGTCTCCCTGGAGACAGTATGACCTCCTCCTCAGAGGAAAACAAGAAACAAACAAACAAACAAACTCCACAGCCCTGGGGACATGAGGAGGAGGTCCTGAGGAGCCACCTGGGAGGTTGAGGAAAGGGCTGAGGAGGATTCAAACTGGAGGAGAGTGGGAGGCGGGCTGAGGAAGAGGAGAAGTCTCTTCTTCCTTTTGGAACTTGAAAGAACTCATCTCCCAGGTTTAAATACTCTGCTGAGAAAGCCTCACTTAATACAGAAGACTTGAAATGCTTGTCACATGCAAAAATTAGGCCTACTTAAGGACAAAGAATAACCAGGAGCAAGAAAAAGACAAAACCCAAACCATTTCATTTCCTGTAAAACACACACACACACACACACACACACACACACACACACACTCCCCAGTTGGCCAGTTTTAGGGAACATGTGATTTCATGTCAGAAAGAATTCTGCCCCGAAAACAGGACCAGAGCCTCCAGCTTTTGCTCTGACAGGACAGAGAAGCAGTAACCTCTCGCCGGGTAGCTGAAGGTGAGTAAGCTGCACTTAGAAGTATTTTTCAGTTACTCAAACTTTTTCCCTTGGAAGAATCTAGTGCACCAAGTCTTCAAATCCCAGTGCCACTTTCTCAGGCTGTGAAAGGCTGTCCACAACTTGACTGAAATTTCCATCCACTCTTGTGCTGTGCTCAACGTGTGCATATGTGTGGGAGCTGTAAATTGAGGCCTTAACCACCAGAGTTAATCTCTTTTAAAAATCTGTATTAACCTTAATGATTTGAAGTGCACTGTCCAACACTGGGCTATTGAGACCGAAGAGAAAACTACCCTTGACTATCAATAGTTTATTAGGGGCTTAACTGAAGTGACCTACTGTAGTAGTAGTGTTCAGCCGAACAAGGCTAGAGGCTTTTTGTGGAAAGGGAAAGAATTGAGGGTTTCATTAAAAAGTAATTTGTGCTTTATACTCACTCATTCAAAGAGTCTCAATTGCTCTTTATTCACACAGAGTTAATACAGTATCACAATGTTTCTCAATGAATGTGTTGTAACAAAAGAAAAATTTTACATTTTGAAAGGAAAAAATTCTTTGTAACAGCAGTAAGATTGATGGCTACTTAGAAGATTACAGAATCTTTCTCTCCTGTGCTCATTTAATGTTGGAATATTAATTGAAAATTGTGCTTATGTGGCTTTATGTTGTAATGATTAAAAGCATTTTAAAAATATATAAAAGTTGGTCAAGTGTAAGTTTGTCTTGTTAGATTACTGTAGAAAAGAAGTATTCTGAAACCAAATATCTTCTAACTATAGCTTCATTTGTACCAGTCAGAAAATATTCCTGACTTAGCATAAAGAATTACTCATGATTTTAAAATTCCCTTTATCCATTTCTAGTTTCTAGATCAGTAGTTCTCAACTTGTGGATCACGACCCCTCCGACAGTCTTCTATCTCCAAAAATATTTACATTACAACCGATAACGGTGGCAAAATTATAGTTATGAAGTAGCAACAAAAAGTTTTATGGTTGGGGGTCATCATCGCAACTTAACTATGTGTCCCATAGGGTTGCAGCATTAGGAAGGTTGAGAACCACAGCTCTAGATGTGTGCTTGTTTGAAGTCAAAGACAGAACGAGCTATTCAACCCCATGTTTTCCTTAGGCAGAGCTTGGCTGTCATTAGCCATTAAGAGGGACACCAACTTTTCAAAGTTCTATGAAGAAAAGGCAAGCACACAAAGAGCTTATTTGTGCCCTAAATTGTTCATATTTTCATAAGTATTATTTCTATTTAAATTAATAATATATTTAGACATTTCTGACTTAAACACATGGTCCATAATTTTTGCCACCATCAGAAATGTCATAAAAGCCACAGAAGGTCCAAGGGTGAACAAGGTCAAAGACAAAATTATCCACTTGGCCCCTGAATAGTTCAACATCTCTCTTGTTCTGTCCTGAGCCCATTAGATTATAAGGTTAACATGGAATGAGGAATCATTAGATTTATATCCGTAAAACTGAAGGGAAAACTTGAGATTCAGTTATTCAGGATTCGCCAAATTAATGTTCACTTTATCAAATAAAATTATATCACACTGAATCTCCAGCAGAAAGACCATTGTTATTCACATTGATTTACATAGACCCATTAGGAAAGAAATATCTCTATTTTTTCCAACTTTGAAAGAACATGTCCTTTAACTTCCATAGTGGCAGACAGGCCAAGTAGGGTAACCTAGTTTGCATATTCATGAAGTTTTAAAATCAATGACAGCTTCTTTCCAAGAGGAGACAAACTTACACAATTGCATTCAGCTTGAATAATGGCAGGTAGCTAAGCGTTTGAAATAATAGTTATGTGATTTTTTTCCATAAGAAATTATTGTGCACAGATTATTTCACTGATAACTATACAAGAAACCAAGTTCTTAAGAAAGAAAATGTGCAAACTCACCATTCACCATTTTTTTTACTACCAAATGCTAAGATAGCTCACACTCAAAGATTATAGCTTTATTATACCCATTATTCTCAGGTATCTATCTCTCTCTCTATATATATATATATATCTTAAAGTGTTATTGTCTTCAGTTTACAAATGAGTTGACAATTATCTTTTCAAAGAAACTATAAATCCCTAACATTTTATATCTGTCACATATTATACTCAAGTGATAATATATAAATATGAAAATTTTAAATATTGCCATTTTGGAGCATATATCTGCTATTTAATTTTGAAGGGGATTATCTTTTAATCTATTTTCAATTCTGCTGGATGAATTAAAGAAGAATACAGTGATCTGTAGACCACTGAACTGTAAGAAAAGGATAGTATTTTATTCAAATAAGTCTGTAACTTTATCAGGGCCATCTTGCTTAACATTTAGAATGATATGCTTATTTCCACAAATAATAAGGCAATGTTTCCTAGCACGGTGAGATTTCCATGGAACTGGCAAGTCAGTACAGTCTTGCCATCCAATTTTAGATAGATAATTCAATGGGTGGTATGAACCTCCCTCAAATCCTTATGGAATTAAATGACAAATGAATGGTCACAGTTCTGAACAAAATAATTAACTCTGCATCTTGATGATATAAACACCATCATCTCATTTGTTAATATATTGAATAAACAATGATACTAAACTAGGGAAGACACATGACTCATTTTGCTGTTTTCATACTCCTATGTTCTGGGTGAAAAGTAACATATATATATATATATATATATATATATATATATATATATATATGCCTAGTTTAGATACATAATTACTTTTATAGTATACTGAAGAACTTGTGTAACTAGGGAATTACAGTAGCAACCGCAATATGAAGCATTCACATGATGGAATATTGCATTGCTGAACTTCTCAGTGAGTGAGATAACATATTCCATGAGTGTTTGACTTACAGTATTAATGCTGGGAGCAAAGCAGGTGATGACTGACAGAAAATGGCTCTCTGTTGCTTCAGTATTCCACAATGAAAATGCCTGGACACTTCACTCCTACTACACTGATTAAACTTTGGGAGGGCAATAATTCAGAAGTTATTTTTATTTTTATAATTTATTTTTAGTGTATCACACCGTTTAAAATATAGAACTGTGTAGGCATCTGGGATTATCAAATGTTATGTGAGATCAACTCTGCATCTTTCCATTTCCACCCATGACTTCAATGATCCACTGAGATAAAATGCAGGGCTGGGTTATTCCATTGTGCAGACTTGGCGCGCCTTTGGTATATAGAGTAGGGGAATTGCATCAGCGCCTACCTGTGACGTCAGCAGCCATCAAACCTTCAGCTCTGATGACTTTCACCTGGAGAAATCCCACATCTTTTAGGTTGTTAAATATCCTCAGTGGGCTCTGGAAAACCCAAACATGGACATTAGGAAAAGAAATCTAAAGAAGCCTCAAAAATATGCTTATAAAATACTAAATTTTCTCAGGATGTTTTCTTAGGGGTCAAAGGGTCATTTGCGCTTTTTCAATACAAATTATACTTCCTATGTCAGGAAAGCATACAAATGCATGTGTACATGAGCACATCCATGCATGTGTGCGCATGCACACACACAATTGTATAATTAGTGATAAATTATTTTCTGAAATAAAAATACCACAGTTACTACCTACAAGTAACACTCAGTAGATGGTGAGCAATAAGCCCCAAAGCAGATGTCTCCATAGCTTCTCTCAATGTCTTCTATTAAAGGACCTCACAAATCTTCATTTGTAAATATGATAGTTTGAAGATGATAATGAACAATATTAACTCATATAAGTGCTTGCATAGCACTCCTCAGACAGGGAGTTATCAAGAAGTTAATACTAACAAATTATTTTCCTGCCATTTCATTCTTAGTGCTTAGATAAGGGGGAAATTTTCTAAAGACTTTGCTAATTTTCTAAGGGGGAAATTTTCTAAAGACTTTGCTAATTCAAAGACATACATAGTTTTATAAAAATTTTGAGAGACAATTTTTAAAAGCAAATCAAATCAGTAAATCAAATCAAATCAAAGGTGGTGAGAATATTTTCTTCAGTTTATATTTGTATTTTCTATAATGTATAGAACCATTGAGTTTTTGATAGAAGAGCCTGATGATAAAAAGCAAAAACTGATCGTGATGTCTTACTAAGCAGAGTACTTGAAGTAGGTAAGGAGGAAAGCCAACACAATGAATCTAATGAGTGGGTAAATAAAACTCCAGAGCATTGATATGCATTTTGTTTACATTTCATATTTTTTTCTTATGGTAATGTCAGTGCTTCTAATGAGTAAATCAAAGACAATTTCTCACCACCTTTAAAATGTTTCATGACAAGATAGTTTAATATGCTTCTGCATAAAAAAGTTATCTATCAGAAATTGCTAGAATACAAGCAACCCCATCAGTGTATTACTAGTGTGAGGGTACACACAAAGCAAAGCTTCTGCAGTACAAACTTTATCAGTCCTGATGGCCTGTCATTATTTACACTGACGCTCTAACCTTGGTACAGTGAGGGGAAGAAAGACAGGCAAATGTGTAATCTCATAGCATGACTTTGTAAAAACAGTGCTCGGTATGGAAGGCCACCTCTTAATCTCTAATCATAAATAACTATTTTTCACCAAAAATTTATTTTAAGGCTCATTTGACTAGATTTAGTAAAAATGCACCTGTCTCTTTTTTTAAATTCTTACCAAACAAAGGTTTATCATTAGCAGCAGTGATAGGGTTCTGAGGCTTCCAGGTACGCTGTGTCTTACATCACGGATAAAGTTGGGGAAGGGACTTATCTCAGAGCTCACTTGATACATTAAACCAGCTAGGAATTCTTCCTTAATGATGGGGAATAGTTTCATCACAAGGGTTAGCACTTTAATTTTTCAGGAGCAATTTAAACCAAGTTTCCTTGTGACTAAAACAAATATCATCAGTCAGAACATTTTGCTCTGGGAAGCTGAGGGAACGGCCACAGCCACACCATCTTTGGGACTTCCATTCTGGGGCTCTGCTTTGCATTTAGAGGGGTGATTATAGTTTGAAGGTTTCATTCTCCAATCATCTGACACTTGACAATTTATTGCAAATTTCTACTGTATAGGCCAGTGGCATATAGATTATAATAAGAACTCAAAGAAAAAGCAAATAAATACCAGTTTAAAACTGTAATTTTTTGAAACGTTTTATCAAGGGGTGTTCCCATGTTGTTATTTATGGTTATTTTAGAAGGCCTCAATATCTGGATGGCTTTTGAAGCCAGAAATTTCCATAGCAGAGGAATCCATGATCTGCTGTGAATCCTAAGCCCTCAATAGATGGGAAGAGATTGAAATGCTCTGGAGAGGAGTCCTCTTTATTTTTTTAATGAAAGGCTGTATAATATATTTTCTCTATGGCCGCAGCAGCTGTCAGAGAGAGCATCGCGGTTCAGCTCTATTACGGGAGAGGCAATACCCCATCCTATGGTACAGAGATGCTCTGAGGGGCCAGAGCTGATTGACAGCTTGTCACCGTGACGTCTTATTCCATCTCTGTTATGGAGAAAATTAATGTCACACCACCAGCCTTATGACTTGCTGTCATCGTAGAACCGCTCACCTTTTATCAATGCTCTAAATAACATTTCAAGCCCATCGTCTCACGGTGGACAATCCGGTCAAGGGACATTAAATCAGATGACTGTGAAATGTCATAATAAAAATGGAATGCTAACAACTTCTTCTCTAAACCAGCTCCTCTGGTTTTTAAACTGTGACAAGGAGGAGCAGGGGTTCAGCAAACCCGTTCTGAAAAGGTCAAACAGCAGCTCTTGGACTCCTACCCATTACTACCCGACCCTACTGACCTTCCCTCTTCCCCCTCCAAAGAAGAAAAGAACGGGAAAATGGAATTAGCCACCTTCTCAGAATGTGGTGATCAAATAGTAGCTCACTCAGGAATGTCTGGTTAATTTGTGGGGTTTCAGTGCTGAGCAGTGACAAGATTCTCTAGGGCTGTTTCATATCAGAGTAGGGCAATTCATTCCTTTCCCTACCCTGACTAGCACCAAATACAAACCAAATCAAATTCTCAAGTTTAACCTTCACTTTACACACACACACACACACACACACACACACACACACACACACACACACACACCATGTGCATTTTTAAAGAAAAAAAACACAGAAATAATTTGCTGAACAGTGATCCCCTTTACCTGTTTCATCAAAACAGGGTATATATTAGACATCATGCAAAATTCATTCATTTCATAATACACAAAGTATAAAATACATTAAAGCCACCAAGAGGTTGCTCTTTGTCTTTGTACTGTTGTGAGCTAACACTAATATAGCACATTCAATGTTCCGCATTACCACTTGTTAGCAAGTGTGTCTCGAGAGGGAGAGGGAGACCAGTGCCTGAAATTTGAGGTTACAAAAAAAGCATATTTAAACATAATTCACCTTTTAATGCATTGGGCAGAATATAACCTGAGAATTAGCTGAGATGCCAAACATAACATTTTACATTTCATTGAAATAGCTAGCATTTTGGAAAAGATGAAAAAACAAAGTATTCACATTCAGAATGGAGACAGCTGATTAAAGGAAGCCTATTCAACAACAACAACAAAATCAATCAATAATAGGTGGATTACTTCTAATTATGTAGACAGCAGTATCATCTTCATACATGAGATAATATTAAAATAGTGATCCAGTAACTACAGAATGTTAATGCCCAGATGAATTTTCATGTTAATATACCAATTAATTCTTTTATGGTAGTTTTAATTCAGAAAGCTCATTTCTAGTAACTAGAGAATATACTTTTGGTGGAGTAGCAAAATGTGAAATAATTTTCATAATTGCAATTATATATTAGAAGATACTATACAATAACTTAGGCTCTTAGGTGGTTTAAAAATATACATGATTTAGCCTTGCTAAGTCACCTCTATTAAACTGTTTATGATAATACCATTGGTGGATGAGTTGTACAAGCATTAGCAGACAGCTGATTCAGTGGAGATAGCCAGAATAAATTTGCTGAGGCGTACATCCTGCTAATCTGTTTGAAGAATATTGTAGAGCATTCGTACGGGCACTTCATGTTAGCTGCACAACCTGATAAGGTACGTCTTTATTAAATTCAGTTATTGAAAGGATGTCAGTCAGCAAATAGGAATAGTTTTTTAAAAAGCCATTCTTTGTTAGTCGGAGCTTGGTTTCATGACTGAGTGTCTAGAGGAGCCGTCTAAACACCTGGCAGCACTGTACAATACAAGCTTTGTGATTTGAAGTGGAAAAGCCTTCCCCTAGCTTCATGGGTACCAAGGCATTTACTTTTCCAAGCCTCCATTAAGAGACAATGGTGGAGCAAGAGCTCCCCCCTCTGGTGATTCACGACAACTACATGGTGAGAAATGCATCCACAAAGTCGCGGGGATATAGGAAGATTTGACTATTTAAAGGACATAACATTTGAGAAGGGTGATTATTGGCACTCCATTCCACCCTCACACCTCACATTCAATCAGAATGATGGGGGCTACATTTTGATTGCATTTCACTTCCATACTGACCGGACGCAGTTAGGCTTTTCTGAGCAGTAAACATCACTTTGTAGTTCCCAACTTCCCAGTATGCCAATAACCTCATTTTAGATTTCAAGTTGTGCTTGAAATTACACAGAGCCACGGATTAATATTAAAGGGATGAATAAATTTGAGCTCTTTTATGGAGAGTTTCTCTATATGATTAAAATCACAAGGTAGAACCTTAGAATCCAGAATGTGCTGTGAAATCTTGGAGATGACTAAGCTATAGACATCGGCAGGCGATGCCGAGGCTCCTGCAGGGTTGCATGTACCTATGTGGGCCTGCTCTCTGCTCCTCAAACCGAAATCCACTTGTCTTTCTGGGCACACCGTGTACAACCTCATCTAGTCTACACATGGGTCTGTAAGGAAGCTCATTGCATACGTACGTATCTCTTTAGTATCTCTCCCCGCTCCTTCTGGTCCTCCAGGGAGTGGACGGAGAGGTCGGAGATGCTGACTGTGGCTGAGGCTGTCAGAGTGACAAGCAGAACCAGGTGGCCCGCACCCTCGTCCAGCTGTAACTCCAGCTTGTGCGTTTGCTCCCTACTGAGGGACGACAGGTCAACCTGGCACCTAGAAACAAATGTTTTGAATTAGCAAGTGGCGTTCTCACCACATCAAACAGACATGGGTTTGTCGGAGCCCTGTGAAAGGCAAAGCAATAGAAATACCATCTGGGACAGTGGAAGATCAACTGCCTTTCTTCACAAAATTCAGGCCCTGGCTATCATAGAACTTTTAATGGCTTGTTTCCTGTTAGATACAAACTCAGGTGAAGTTGAATTGGTATATCCTCTGATACTGTTTTCATGAATTGGTGGGGGTTCTCGTACCTATTCAGGAGGAGGCAAACTAGCCACTGCTGCCATTTTGTGATCCCTCCTTCCAATTCATAAATGTCATTGAATAGCAAATAGAACTTTCACTGTGGGAGCTTAAGTTTTACACCTTTGAAATTGTACTTACGGTACACTCACTAAATCTAAATGTGTCTTCTCAGGGCTGCACAATGCGGCAAGTCACGCCGCATGTGCCACTCTTACAGTTAAAACACCTTGCACTCTTTTCATAAAAATGTCAACTGATTGTGAGGAGGCAGATAATATAGTGACTATCAGGCTGATAACCCGAGAGGGGGAGAGAAAGGGAGAAGGCAGGGATAAAGAAAAAAAAAAAAACTTCAAACAGGAAAAGGGGGCTGATGAGACTCCTGGGTGGTGCAGATGCTGGCTGCTAAGCTTGCACGTCTGAGTTCCAGCTCTGGGCCCCACGTGGTGGAAGGAGAGAACTGATTCCCACAAACAGTCTTCTAACACCCACTCATGTGCTGTGACACACACCAAAAAATACGGTGAAAATTAAGAAATAGCCAATTACCAAAGTCAATATTCTCAATATATCATAAATGAGATGGGCACCTATAAGGGAAAGATTAAATGCTTGATCCTTTTCATTCCTCACTCTACCATTTATTGTTTTGTTTTAAAATTGTCTTTAAATAATAGTAGGATAATAACAGTATCTAAAGTCTTCAAAGATTGTAGCTGAATTCAAATATCTCTCTTATGAGATTTCATAAAATGAATGGGAATCTGACATTTACTTTTATTTTGTGCACAGCATTAACAATGACTATGACTAGACACAGGATATGTGCTAAATTCTATTATTAAGAGAGTTAGAAATTAGTCTGTACAATTCTGGAATACACTTTCCAAATGCTAGGATACCAGTAACCTCGCTGACTCCATTAATACAACATTCAATTCAAAATACTATCACTAATTCTCTTCAGTGGTTAAAAAAAAAAGTTAAAAATAAAAAGCCCACACAATGCCTTATCTAACATTCTAATTGTAATTAGAATCAAGTTCTCAATAACACCCGCAGTAAACTGAAAGTTAAAACACATCAATGAAAAACAATCAGTCAAAAGCAGTCTCTCATGAAAGGAGGAACATGAAAATGATTTCAGAGACCTCTGCAGCTCTGGCGCAGTGCCTGGCCTTACTGAATGGGTCAGGAGTGAGTGGAACTAGATGACCGAACGGGGTTGTGATCCAGACAGAATGTTGGCTGGGTACAGTGGGGACCAACAGGAGTCTTACATCCACCTTGCTTTTGTTCCACCCCACCCCCAGCTCAGTTTGTCCGCACACTCGTAGGCCCCTCCCTCCTTCCTTCGTCTTGTATAGGATGTGCGCTATCATACACAGAAAAGCGCTGGAGACACACAAGCCTCTGGCCGGTTCCCTTTCCAGCTCATGACCACTTTGCACAGGCTGTGTAGACGATCCGGTTTCCTTTCTTTCAGAGTCGCCACAGGAGAGCTTCAAAGGGCTCTCAAGGTTACTTCCTCTAGAAATTGCAAACTGGCAGCTTTTAGATGGAATCACACCCATAGATCTAGTGTGTATGTGTGTGTGTGTGTGTGTGTGTGCGCGCGCGCGCGTGCGTGCGTGTGCATATGATTGTGTGTGTGTTGTGCCAAATAAAAGTTCAATTCTAAATACATTAATTTTGAATACAGGACCATATTCCCTGAATGCGTGACTCTCACCATCTCTGCTGTAGCTGGCCTATTTCACTTATTTACTCTCTCTGCTCCAATGGGTATTAAGGATTTGTGAGTCCTGCAATCTCCAACATGCCAGTGAAAAACTGAGGAACAGGAAGGTACATGACCTAAATGGACACACACAGTAACAACCAGAGTCAGAGCCAGTCCCTGGGCCTCTGAAATGGAAGACCTAAGCATTCTCAGCTCCAAGACTGTTGCTGAGGAACTGCATTCTTGGAGGAAGGCCTGCAGTTACCAATGGTTCTCAGAGATGACCAGATATTTCCATTACAGGAAACATCTCCATTCCAAGTATAAAATTGTGTTGTTTTTACTTCAATGTTTTAAACTATGTACAAATTAGGGAAGAAAGCCGTTTGTTCTTATAAGAGCATTTCACAAATGAAAATTTCAAAGGTATGGCACTAGTAAAATGTAAACAAGATAAATTTATAGGAATGTTTTTCCTTCACCAACTAAAACTTCAGTATTGAATATGCTCACAGGAAGGACCATGTGTATTGTTTCAGCATTTTGACTGTCCTAATTTTAATATAGAGAACAATAATATGCTAGACATGAGAGTTCAATGTTAAAACATGGGAGGTTTTCACTGTGGTCCCTCAGACATCTTATTTATCTAAAATTCTGCTCAGGAATATGATGCTGCTTTAAATGTCAATTTTTTTTTTGCTATAACTTAGCCAAACTGTCTTGTTAACTTGAAGATAAAGTTTGTATCACAACTTCATTGCTGAGTATTAAATCAAATGACTTCTGGGATCAGATGTAGAAAAAAAATTCCATTCTCTTTCAGCTTTTGAACAAATATGTACAAAGACAGAACCCTTGTGGCATAGTCTACTACCCTGTGAATATAGCACTAATTGGTGTGGGCTGAAGGGCTTGTATGTGGTTCACCTGTGCTGGTAAATCCCTCACAAGGAAAGGATTCATCACAGATGAACTACAGAAGTAAGTGACTATCCAGGGGACCTAGGCATGTAAGGAATGCTTTTCAAAAATGAAAACATGAAATTATTTTTTTTAAAGCAGTAATGTAAATTCATGAACTCCAAAAATACTTGACAGGGATGAAGAGCCCAGAGTCATTTCCTTAGTTCCAGGACTCCGTTCCCACTAATTAGTTGTATGACCTTTTCCAAGACAACGTTCCCTCTTGAATTTCACTTTTCTCATCAGCACTTATGAGCTTCTTGAACTAGATGAACTCTGAGAATCCCCAATCTCACAATCTGTGATAACTCTATCCATGTTTACGCTTGTGTCTTGCTTTCTTCGCAGTTCTACAAACTAAAAACCTGAAAGAACAAGTTTATCTTATAGGTAATGAAATATTATTCCTTATCCATCTTATAAAGCAAAACAAAGCAAAAGACCCTCGAAAGGCTGTGTAAGAAGAAATCTATATAATTTAATTTCATCCCATATTGAAGCAATAGCACTGGGTGCCTCTAATGTCAGCATGGAGGAGAAGGACAAAGGAAGGTGCTGTAGACCCTTTTCTTTGGCTCAAAGAGAAACACTTCACATGTGTTTTCTAGCAGGGAGCTACACATTCGGTTTGAAGACATATTTAAACTATCATAATTACTTCCCTAGATTCTCCAGGAGACTTGATCTCCTGGGGCTCAGTCACTTGCTGTGACTAAGATGTGACTTTGATTTTGTGTCCCCAAAAGGCTGCTCTTCACACTACTACCCCCACTAGTCACTGTACCCAAGCCCTCACAGCTCTTCTTCCTACAAGTTGTAATCTTTCCCTTGCCCAAGTGGACTGGGTCCTCTCCTCAGCAGTGGTGACTGCCAATCCAGATCTAGCTTCTACATACCTGGACTTTCTGGCTTCTAAGGCCACATCTGCATTTGGATGCAAAGCCACACTGTAGAGTGCAATATTGCTCTCAGAACCTGTCAATGGAGCCCCAATGAAACATGAAGAGGTTGGTTTACTGTGGAGTGAACTTTTATCAGTAGAACAGGAAGTGGGAAGATAACTTTTGATACCTCTTTCAGTCTGACAGACTACTCCAAAATATGATCTGACATTGCTTGACTGCAGATGGCTATGTACATATACATCCTAAGCAGCCTTTCCCTGATGCACAGAAGACAGTGAACGGCTTGGCAGCATATTACCTTGTGTTGTTTGCCAAGGCTCCTTCTTCTTCATCATCTCGTACCTTACTTTCTGGGAACACACCTCCCAGTAAATCAGCAGCACCAAACTCTTGACTCAGAGTTTGTTTCTAGAGAACCCAGGCTAAGGTGAAATGTGCTGATACAGTTTACACACACTCCCAATTTTGGATGTTAAAAACTTGACTATATCCCTATTCCTGCTTCCCTTCCCCTAAGAAATATCCCCAGCAATCTGACAGTGCCCTCAGGAAGCTGTTATCAGCCTGTGTGTGACTTGTCCATGCCACTTGTCCAGTCTACCCATATTTTTCACCAGGTTCTGGAGGTCTGGATGAGATGATAGTCTACCTACCTTTGCTTGGCTAACGTTTACTAACCCTACTGAAAAACCTTTCAGTTGTCGTTCTTCATGTCCTGAAGCATCTGTAGGAGAGGGGTAACATCTTGTCCTCTATAGCACGTAGACTCTATTTAGTGCTTTGTGAATATTAAACTCTTTACAAAGAAATGTTACTTTAGAGAGGCCAAAGAGTGACCTGTGGCGACAGGGCATCATCATGGTAAGGCAAAAATTAATGCCTAATGCTCATTCTGAACTTCTGTCTCATCTACCTAGAAAGTGATCTGATTCCTTCCCTCCCTCCTTCCCTCCCTCTTTCCCTCCCTCCCTCCATCCTTCCCTCCTTCCCTCTTTCCTTCCCTTCTCCTCTCTCTCTCTCTCTCTCTTTCATTTTGTTTTACCTATTTATGACACTTATCTCACTCACTCACTCACTCACTCATGTGTCAGATCCTCTCAGATTTCTAGAGGTCACCTGTTTAAAATCTAGGTTCTCCTATCTTTATTTCT